TGATCACGAACTCGTTCCCAATGATGTAAAATAAACGTGTGTGTGTTCAGCAGAGCTCAGTGGTCTCACTCTAGCTCCTCACACTAACCAGCTGCTGTTGTTTCCTCTCTTTCAGTTGTGATAAACATCCCAGCTGTATCTGGACAAAGTGCCATTCTGTCGTGTCGAACTCAAAACAAATCCGTCATAGTGGTGGAGTGGAGCAGACCTGACCTCAAGAATGAGCATGTCCTGTTTTACCGGGATGAGCAGTTTGACACAGACAACCAGCATCCATCTTTTAAGCAGCGGGTGGCTCTGCAGGACAGACAGATGAAGGATGGAGACGTGTCTCTGATCCTGAAGGATGTGACGATTAACGACATGGGAACGTACGAGTGTCGTGTTTTCATGAGAGGGACAAACCGCAGGAAGAGAGCCATTTTGGAGACTGAGCCCATCTGCATCATCAACCTGAGTGTCTCTGCTCTTTCAGGTGAGTCACTAGAGTTCAGTGTGTCTGTGATCACCCACCTGACAGCTGACACTCACACCTGTTTCTCACCTGCAGGACCACCAGGAGGAGAAGAGAGGTTTAGACATATTGGACTGATCGTTGCCCTTTTACTTTTCACTTCATCACTGCTTCTTCTTGGAGTTGATCTTTTCATCCACAGAAGACAAAAACAACAACAGACTCACGGCTCACAGAAGCCTCCTGGTGTGAGTGATTCTCCTACTGCTGATATTAGTGTAGAAACAGAGAGGATCTACACTACATAGAAGCTGATGATGCTGAACTCCTCCAGACATCAAGCATGTTGAGAATTTGATTTGATTTTTCTGGATTAGTTAGCACCACACGTATAAAACAAAGACAGTGGCAGTCACATTAACTTCCCCATCCATCCATCCCCCACCAGGGCTAGCCATGTGCTCTGCTAGCATTTAACTATAACTGAGGCCCAAATAACCAAAAAACTGTAAGATCTCAGTGATCTTGGCATTACTAAGAATTAAGAACATGCCTAGCACCAACAACAAACTGAGAAAGAGGATTAGCACAAAAAACAAATAAACCAAACACAAGTTTTTCCCATGATACAGTACTGACACCTCCCCTCAGTCTCAAAGCTCTTCTGCCAACTGTCACATGACTAACTCAGCAGTGTTATTACAGCCTTATGAAAACACAGAATGAAATCAGTTTCATGTAACTGCAGAGTTTAGTAGTTCCAGCTGACGCCTCACACCTTTCTCTCACACACAGTCTGGGTCTGTTTCCTCAGCTGCTTGTTGCTGGTGTTTATTTATTTATCTATTTAATTATCATTGGCATAGAAAGAACATGTGAGCCCTGTTCCAGTAATAATTGTTGGGTTACATCTCTAAGTTTGTTTAAGCAGTGATGAGAGAAACTCAGATTTTCCCTTAAAGTTTATTTTAACTCTGAGTCAGTTGCTGGGTTAACAGACTCAACAGACCAGTTCCTCTTTGGCTGAATGACGCTCGGTGTCATTTTCTCCTTCATAAAGTTGCTGTCAAAGTGCTTAAAGGAGCAAAATAATGAGAAGACGCTGGTTTAATTTCCAGTTACAGGTTAGTGTCCCTGTTTATAACTGTGGACAGTGATGCGGCTGTCAGAAGGTCAGTTCCATTGTACTGAAAGCATTTAATGTTGTTCATACACGGATCAATGACAAAGTATTTCTCGTCTTCTCTGTCGCACCGACCAAAAAAGTGTCTCACACAGCTGGATCCTGGAGATGATGTAAATACTTGTGTGAAGATGAGGCTGAAATGACAGATTACAGAATAAGATTCACTCATTCAATGATGTCAAACAATATTTCAAAGGTTCAGAGTTTAAACAGATTGTTCAATGAAAGTCACCTTAACATGTCTCAGTGGGTCGACTCAGAACTAGAGCGCATGAGGATGTTGTTACTCTGTAACAGTTCAACAAACCATGTCCGAGTTCACTCGCAGAGCTGCACGGATCTAAAACTGAAAGGATCACAGATTTAAACCGGATCAGGCCGGGATCCAACTTGGCTGATCTCAGAGTCGACCTGCTCTGTCTTCTCACTGTTGTCATTGAACGTCGAGGGGCAGACAGATGATCTGGGTACAGGCTGA